ATTTGTTTGGCCTTCAGTCATAATGCACAAAAATGTGCCATTATGCCGGGCCTTGGGTACAACTGGTTGATGATGGAAGTAGAAGCTGTTTTGATTTTGCAATAAATTGAGCAGAAAGGGAGTAAAAAAAAAAGAAAAGAAGAAAAAGAAAAAGAAAAATTCATGCGTGGGCAATAAAAGCATCCCTACAACCAATTGTTGTTTACTGCAGTAAACCCTTTTAAGCCTTTCTTCCTGCGATGTTTCAAACTAGATCTTCAAAACCTTTCGGCAGACTTGTGTCAGAGGTGCTCTGCTACTGTTGGGCAAAGCTGATATATATTATTTGTTTATTTTTATATGTCTCTGTATTAATAATGATAAAAATTACAGCCAAAGAGCCAGCCATTTACAAAAGCAGCCATTTACAAAAGCTTTTAGCTAACAGTACGGTGTAACAAGAGTAAAAAATAGCATGCGTAAATGATACGTTACTAATGCATGACTCCTGATGACTTTTTAAATCACAAATTAATGCAGAATGTATCATGTATTCTGGTTAGTTTTAACTCTAATTATATCATTATGGCTTTGTGTGAAATGTCTTCCTTTTACAACTTTCCATTTGCCGGTCCCATCCTGTGTGGGGATTTTTAAGACTGAATACCCCATCCCAGAGTCTCACCAAACACCAAGGCTGTGTCCTTCGAAGGCCGAATATGTTGGATGCTTACATCACTGCCCAAATTCGAGGACTCCTCTGACGTGCATCACAAATGTGTACTCCCCCCCGGTTTAAGGGGCAAGTCTGTTGGATCCTACTCGGTCCAGCCTATCCCTATCTGCAGATGCATTGTGGGCCAACCAGAGATTTTATTTTAATTTTATTYTTTTGTTTGTAACGGTGGATCAAGAGAGAGAAAGGAATATTTTTATTTTCAAATATGTTGGTATAAAAATTGAAAGTTTAAAGCAGTTGCTTTGTTAATGTTCCTGTCATTTGCATTGACATGTTTTTAATACGATTCTTGTCAGAAATCAAATGAGCTGGTATGTAAAATGAACGAGCACCTACGGTGGGTCCCTTAGTTCTTCAAGTATTGCCTTTAAGTAAGTTTGTTACTTTATACTATTAATAATACTAAGATATTGATATTTGTCTAATTTCTATTTAACTTAGCTTCTGTTTAGCATCGTCACAATTGCTAAATGACAGGACATACGCTGGGTTAAGGGCAGGAATACATGGTAAATGGACTGCACTTGTATAGCGCCTTTCTACCCAACAAGGATACTCAAAGCGCTTCACACTACAATCTGTGTCCTCATTTACCCATTCACACAGCACTCTGCTAGATCTCCTACAAAGCTAACTTGTACAAATCAACTATGAAGACTAATCAGTGCCAATCACATTCATACACTGATGACACAGGTGTATGTTATTTGTACTATGATCAATATTATGTTTGTTTACAGGACAGGGAATCAAATTTGTACTGGAATGAGCCAACAGACTATACTAATTCTAATCTGGCTTCAACTTCCAGGTTCCAAATGGATGTCTAGATACAGTCTAAGGTTTCCACAATTTCTGATGTATGACTCACCAAGTAGTTTTATAAATTTAATCTCAAACATATAATTAATATAACTACAAACACGAAACTGTTCTATGATAGCTGAGAGGATACAGCAGAAGGAAGGCAATTTATTTCTGATGTCAGAAACTATTCAGGAGCAAATCTGAGCTAGAAAGTTTAAAGTTTAGGACATAAAGATGAGGGAATTGTTTTATCTTTCGCCTCGTGTCGACAGCTGGAAACATTCGCTAATGGAAAATACCCCAGAGTGGCACAAAAGGCTGGATATGATGCACGAAGTAGACTGTGTGAATCACTGCTGTTTTTAAAACGTGTACTGAAGATTAAAGTTGGGCCCCACTAATCCACACCTATGGCTGTTCTTGTGTTTACATCGACACTTCTCTTAAATGTAACCACAAACACTAAAATGCAGTCAGAGGGAAGCTGGCAGAAAAAAGAGAACGAGGGCAGCAACATCTCGTACATTCCCTGGCCTTCAGCTTCTCTGGAAATGCACAGCTGTCTAAAACATTTCGGTGTCTGACAAACACATTTGTATTCCCCTCAGGAGCATGTCTGGAAAATGTCAGTGCTGCAGTGTGTACATTAAAACAACTTAATACTCKGAGATCTCAAGCAAGTACTTGAAGTGTAACTCAACTATTCAGTCATTCAGACTCCTGCATGACTGGAGTGTTTGGCTGTGTCCAAACTGGAATGTTGGATTTAAAACCTGTTCATGTCACTGCGACGCACCAAATATGAAGACTCCTCCAATTGCAGCCCACAAATGCATCCTCTTTTTCTCCCAATTTGAAGGGCGGATCAAGTGGATCCTTCCCAGCCCACCCCATCACCCTAAGATGTATTGTGGGCCGACCTGGAGTTTTGTTTTGCTTGTAATGTCGAATGAAGCAAGAGACAGGAGTACTGTAAAAAAAATCTGACGGTACAAAATTTAAAACTTGAAGTAGTTGTTAGGTTGTTAGGTTTTTGCCATTTGCATCACGTTTGTGGTAGGCAGGGTTACATGTGGAGCTTCAATGAGCAAAACAAATGGGCTGACATGGCAGCAAATCCTTAGGAAAGAAAAACCTGAGAACATGAGGGGAGAACCAGACATGGTGCTGAAGACTGAAAGACTAAAAGCAYCTGTAATCATTAACCAAACCAGACAGAACAGGAGTACGTCTCATGAATGAATATATCATTAGTTCCCAAACCTTTTAACATGTGACATACAAAAAAAAAACAGCCTCTGACACTCAAAGTATCTTTGGCTGAAGTATTCAAACATTACTAATTAACCAAATTAATAAGGATATCATGATGCGGACAACTATCTTAACAACCATTTCTATCCTTATACTTGTTCATCTTTTGGAACAATTATGGCAAAAATATTAGCGTTGTCTCCAAGTCATTTCAAAACTCCAAAGCAGATGCTAAATGACCCACAGAAGGGTCCAAACCTAAACTTTAAGAACCATTCWGTTTAACATCCACAGAGAGGAGAATGAAGTGCAGTTTCCTTTATACTAAAATAACATTTGGAATATAAAGTGACATTTGCATTTAAAGACATTTTTGACATGCAATGCTTATATTTATGRATTTAGTCATCATGCATCTCTTTAACATTCCCTTGTCCTCATTAGAAAGTATCATCAGTTCAAGCACAGTCATTTAGTTGTGTCTCTGCGGTGTGAAAAAAAGGCTGATGGCAGTTGTGACAGAGGGAGAGCAGCCAGGAATGATGGGATCGAGGGGCGGGGGGTGGGGACACTGTTACCTCCCTGAAAKTTGGTAGAAAAAAATAATAAAAATTCAGGACGAGTTGATCCAATGGCCCTGGGAGCCATGCAGCCATGTGGAAGGGCGGGCAGTGTGGCCTCAAGAGTGTTCAGTTTCTTTCTTTTTTTCTTTTTTCTTTTTGTGTCTGAAGCCTTATGAATGGGACGCGTGTTTTCCTTCTGCTGAAACTCGAATGACTCTGGAGCAGGGGAAGAAAAAGAGCAAAAGGAGGGAAGATGCAATTCCTTCATTGTGAGAGAATAGGAGAAGAAGAAAAAGAAGATGGCACAGCCGCAGCTCCATCTCTACAACCCNCCCCCCCCCCCCACCCCTTTTCATTCAGGGAAGTACTATTTCATTCATGCCATTTCCGTTCATTCATCAGCTGGGGCCAGCCTAAACTCACAGTCCTATCTCCCCACCAACATTCTTATCAATGGGAGTGACGTCAGCACTGCCTGCAGCTGGGGGGAGGAGGGGGGAGGGCGTTAGAGTGCTGGTCACGTGGTCCGGGGGGGTTGGTATATACAATAAAGTTGCGCTGACCGTGGTGCTGAAAACATTCACCCTGTTGTACATTTATAGCGCCAGAGCCGCTGCGATCCAAACACAGCTTCAAACTCAACAAAGAACATTTTATTATTATTTTTAAATATTTATTATTAATGTTGGTCAAAGGCTGAAGCAAGAGGCAAGGAGGCGGGGGGGCATAGGGTTTCAAAACGAAAAGAAAAGAAAAAAAGACGTGATCCACTATTCATGATATTAATCTTGGCTTTTCCTGCGTGTTGTGAGTTTGACCACTTCCCCACCCCCATCAGAGGGTCTTCAGGTAAGTGGAACCAAATCTCCTTCTGTATCATCCGCAACCAGATAGATGAGGAGCTTTATTTTTTCCCCAACACTAATTATCAACTTATGGTTATATTTTAAAATATATATATATATATCTAGAAAGATGAGGATAAAGCAGTGTTGTGATAATGTGTTGTTTCAGAATATCTTATATAAAAAGTGGTAATTAACCTTTTAGTTGCAACTGCTCGACTGTTAAGATGAAATCAAAAAACCTGATGCATTTATGATTTTGAAATTTTTCATGAATTTATATTAATTATATATTTTTTTGTAAAAAATGTTTAAAGGTTGTTTATATTAATGTGTTAAAATAATAAAAACAACGCGTGGAGCTTTGAAAAAGTGTTCTAATGTTTTTATTTTGAGGAGCTGAGTGGAGAATTTGAGCGCTGCTTTGTCAGAGTAATTATCTGTAATTTTCACGCAGCAGCAGATCTGCTCTTGACTTTCATCAGGATTTTTTTACGTGAACAAAACGAAAAACAAGATTTTTTAAAAATCCTTTAAAACAGATAAGCATCCCCCAATTTTTCGTTTTTAGTCAATAAATTTAAAGTAAAATTTAAATCATTTCAAACATTTAGGCCCAAGTTAGGTGTTTGTTTCATTTTGCGCCTCTATGACTTAATTTCCCAAAATAAAAAAAAAGTAAAAAAAAAATTGCGCTGTTTTGTTGAGGGAAGGAAAGAAATGGGCTGCATTCCGCCACCGGAACACAGAGGAGAAACATCACACAAAAGGACAAAGGCGCTTTTTCCTCACTGGCTGCAACTCCCGTCGCTTGAGCCAAAAAAAAAAAAAAAAAAAAAAAAAAAAGGCTCTCTTCTGCGATTTAATTATTTATTTATTTTTATTTTTTCCAAATTAGCCGGACCACTCAGGGACCGTAGGGTTAAACATCTCAGCCGCAGCCAGCAGCTTTACGCATGACTTGGCGGAGCGTGCCATCTCTCTTCCAGCAGCGCCCGGGTCCAGCCGCTTTTTGACGCACGGAATACCAGAGGAGGAAAAAAAAAAAATCTGCAGCTGCAAACACAAACAGATCGGTTTGTTTTTCCTGTCATTTATTTTAAAGGACACCTGGTGTTTAAAATGGAACCTTTGCGCATCTTGACTGCGTTGGTTTGGAGAAAGAGGTGAGGCTTTCACTGTTTTAACCTTAAAATTCTCCGAAGTCTCCCTCGCAAAATATACTCGGTTGCTCGGTCATGGATTACAGCAGAACGTTTTCTTGATAATCAATTTCATCCGCGACCTGTGGAGATGGCGCGCAATTTCAGAGAAAAAATATCATGTTAAGAAACGGAAGAAAAACGTCCCGTGTTTTAGTTTAAAGCTGCCTGTCCTTCTAAAACACGCGGACTTTTACGCATGAAATCGAACAAATGAAGGCTGAGGTTCGTTCAAGCTTCGGTTCCATGATTTATGTGTGCGTCCCTTCAAACATAGGTAGCCTAAAATGTAATTAAAACAGAAACTAGAATCAATTTCCTGTTGAAAACATGCACCCTGCTGCTGTGGCTCATTAGAATGATGTCTGATTTCTTTCATGTGTCTTAATATTAAAAACACAACAAATTTAAAATCGTTAGATTTTTTTTCATGGTACAGATTTAAAAATTAGCTGTTAGCTTTTTATTAGAGGTCTTTGAGCAATTTCATGTGATGGTTTAAGATAGATGATTGATATTCAAATGAATCTGAAATGACAAATGACCCCCGCCCCTTCCCTCTCTCTCTGCCTTATTTTTTCACATCCTTCAGGTGCTTCACCTCCCTCCTGACAGTTCTGCGTGGTCATGACCTGTCATCACGCTCCTTCCACAGCCCACCTCTTCCTATTGGTCCTGCTTATCGTCACTCCACAGCTAGCCACCGCCGCCCCTGCGTGGGGTGAGGAAGGGGCYGGAGGGGTGGAGGGGCACACCCGGACAGACCATAAAGAGGACAGCCTCGGCTCCTTCCTCGCGCCTCCACCCCAGACTCTACCCGACAATGACAGCTCGCTGCCAGACCGGGGTCAGGGCCTGGGCCAAGATAACCAATTAGTTAAAGCGAGGGACCCTGGGCGTGTGCTCGCTGTGCTTTTGGAGTCCCTCGACCACCCGGGGGATGGCGAAATCTTTGCGAGCAGAAACAGAGACTGGGAGGAGGATCAGAGGCAGAAGCCGCCCTCCGCTGAAGGCGTGGAGGGTGGCGAGATAAGGAAATCAGAGCAGACAGAGGGGGACGGGGGGATGGAGGAGGACAAGGAGGGGCGASAGGCTGATAAGGCTATTGAAGAGGTAATTCTAGGCCATTTGGCAACTGTTCAGGGGGATAAAATCAAAGAAAAGGAGAAAGAGGGGAATAAAACAACAAGGTCGGACGAAGATCAAAAGTGGCCCAAGCAGGATGTTGATATTGTAAATGAGGAAGGCAGGGAAACTGAAGAAGAGGAGCTGGGGGAGGAAAACGCCCCAGACAAAGGCAGAGCAGGTTCCACCTCACAGGAAGACGATCCCTCTTTGGAGCGCAAAATCAGAGGCTACTTCCAGAACATCGACTTGGGTCTCCAAGACAATGAGATCCTGCCTCCTCTGAAGGGCTACAAGGCGTACAACACTCAGCTGGCTCGGGCCGGGAAAAAGCTGCACTGGCAGGACGAGGTGTCACGCAACAGGCCCGTCAAGGGCGGCAACTTCATGGACGACTTCGAAGATGAAGGAGAGGAGCTGGAGGAGGAGGTCAAGGCCGAAGAGGAGAGCCTCTCGTACATGGAAGAGGAGGCGAGGGCGCGTGCGGAGAAGCAGGAGGTCCTCCGGCAGCAGGAGGAGGCGGAGCGGGCCAGGGAGGAGGAGCAGAGGCTGGCGGACATTGCCTCGGACATGCTGCTGCAGTACATGGGCCGGAAGCAACAGTCCTACATGAAGCCGCGGCAGAAGAGCAGCAACACGGCGGAGGACAAGCGATCGGAGGAGATCCTCCCCGACGAGGACGACCTGGACCAGCAGATGATCGACAGGCTGATCGAGATCAGCAGCAAGCTGCACCTGCCTGCCGATGACGTGATCGAGATCATCAGCGACGTGGAGGAGAAGAAGAAGAAAAGGAAAGAGTTGCAGCAGCAGCCGATCGGTAACAATCCAGCCGCCCCACGCTTCAGACCTCTGGTACCTCCTCCTCTGGCTGCTCCACCTATTTACCACTACACAGCCTCAAAAAACCCCAAGAAAGCTCCTTATAGGTACAACAAATCCAACAAGAAATGGCACAAGGATAAAGTCAAGTCATACAAGCAGGACTACTGGTATAAGCCTCAGAAGCAGCTTGACTACTGGTATAAACCCCAGAAGCAGTTTTTAGCTTTCCCCTCCTATCCATATTACCAAAAGCCATATCGCGCCTACTACCCTGTTTACTTCCCATATCCTAAGCCACAGTATTATGGCAATCCTCCCCCCTCCAGAGACCAGCCCTTCGGCCCCCAGGAACTCGATCTCCAGGCCCCAAAGCGCAGGCACAGGGGCGGGGGTAAGAGCCGTGGCCAAGGATGGAGGCAGCAGCTCCCTTCTCGCCTGCCTCTCACCCCTTATATCTCTAACTATATCCTTCCTCACCCACGGACCTACCAACCTCTGCCCCCTCCCAAACCAGTCATCACACCCAGGAGGGGCAGACGACCCCCCTACTACTACCCGCAAGCCACACCGGGAGACGACTACGAAGAAGACGGACTGGTGCCTCAGCTGGACAGTGAGGAGGAGCTGGAAAACTTTATCGAGAGGATCTACATGAAGCGCAAAATGTACTAAGGGACTCTTTGGGACGCTGTCTGCTCAGAGGGACCGGTGGAGGGGGGGTGGATTTAAAGGACAAAGGCAAAAACAGAGGTGAAAATAAGAACTCATGGGAGACATATGTTTTGAGCCTGATGGAAATTTTAGGATTCGATGAGTTCAGCAACAGTTAGATGTATATTTTTTTTGTTGTTTTTCACTGTAATTCAGTTGAGTTTTCTCAGTCAGGGAGAAGAAGAAGAGGTTCCACTTTAAACTCCCTGTCACCATGTTAAGCCTCTTGGTCAGTTTACATTTATAT